TCGGCTTGTTCGACGATCGCCGCGGCACGACCTGTTGGCACACGGACCGTGGATTAATCATGCTTAAGCATGACTGAGGTCGAAATGCTCAGCCCATTCATCAGACCGCACCCGCGCGGCATACCTGCATGTAAACCCAGCCAGCGAGAAGCCGATTTTCCTACGATCGGAGGTGTAGTCTGTGGAACAGCATTTCGTTCGATGCACCGGCCCGATGCAGAGAGGCGGAAATGCCAGCAAGGCGATGGGCAGACGCTTCAGTGGGCGTGATGGGAGTGACAGCGGCCGATTGAAAAGCTCACGTTCGGAAAAATCGTGACGCGCTTCTTATCCAAACGAACTTATGACACGAGGATGGGCGGGCACCGTTGCCCGTTACAGCATGGCAATGCCTCAAGTTTCGATCGGCGTAAACACGCCGACCCGTAACCGTTATGCCCGTAGCGCACACGCGCGCGGGAAGTTTTGCCGCTTCCTCCGCGCCCGCCCCTATAGCGAGACCGCACCGCGCCGGCACGCAGTGGCGGACGGCGCGGCCAGCGCTGCGACGGTACCGTCATTGGCTGACCTCAGGCGACGGGCGCGTGGCGGTATCGGCTCTGTAAACACCTGGCCACACCCAGCGTCGACAGGCGGCCGGGTGAGCGCGGGCGGGGCTGCCCCGGCGCCGCCGCAGCTGAGCTCCCGCGCACGGGACGCGGCTGGGACGCAGCCAGACAGGGCCGCTGTAATCCCCCTTCCCCCAGCAAGGGCGTGACTCGGAGGGGGGGGGGGGGGGGGATTGAATCGAGGAACTCGGCGTGACCCGCGCTTTGGCCTCACTTGCCATGACATCACAACTCTCAGTTTGGTTGGAACAGAAACAATCTGTTGGAAGTGCATTTGGCCCCTGAAGGAGTTGGAGCAACGAGGTCAAAGCCAGCATAGCTAGCGTGAGACCTAAGAAACTCAATGATGTGCAGTTAACCCTCGTCGGGTTAACCAACAATCTGTCCAGGTCAGTGTAATCGTAATGTTTGAGAAGCAGGAAGCGGACAGAAAATTCCTTACGAGGCAAATAGGATATGTTTAGTTTGGTCACATAAGCTCTACATAAACGTAAGCATGTAGGTACATGAGCATGATGCTATGATCTGAATCATGTTCCGGGTGCGAAAGTGGCTTAGCACCGGTCTAAGGTATTTGCAAAGATCATCACTGGCTTTTCCCTGTCCGATCTAGTCGCCCATTAAGTAGGTAAGTTAACTTGTCGCCCATTAAGTAAATAAGCTATGTTTTCCGGGATGGCGTTCGCCTGCGGGCTAGCGTTCCTCTACACCAAGTTGATACCATTCATGACACAAATACTTATCTATTGCTATGAAAAACGTGGACTGAACCGTTGCAGCGCTGGTTAGACGTGTCACGCACAACACCGCCGTGACCCAGTTGACCAGATCGGCTCGCGCAGATGTTTACGGTGGGACACGGCACGTTAATAAGCGGCACGCGGCACACCGACTGACAGTCGCCTTCTCCGAAGCCGAGCTGATGTCATGTGACCCATTTGGTCATCGTTAACTCGACGTCAGCACACGTGAGGTGGCGCACGCGGCTGTCGCTGGGTGGCGGTGGTGCGCCGCCGCCGCGCGAGGTCGCCTAGCATCCCGCCATTGATGTTCCCCAGGCACCGCCGCGCCGCCGGTCTCTGAAGCCACAGCGGCAGCCGGCCATGCGGACCGAGCTTCAGTGCGCCGCTGCTCGCCCGTTCCGCGCCACTAATGACAAACAAAAGAAAATAAATAACGACGTGCATGTATACCTGCAATGCAAATAGAGGACGTCAGATTGGGCCAGTGACGAGCGAGCTGATGGACTAGCGGTTGAAGGGATGATGGGCAAGGCGACGGAAAACCCACGTTTATGTTCTGTGGTTGATATATTATCATTGCCAATATGAATCGTGCAGGCGAGGCTGGTGCATACATCAGTGAAACCCTTCAAGGAAAGCTAACAATGGCCGCTAGCAACAGTCTTTGAATACCATTATGTAAAAGTGATGACAATGTCATACTGACGATAATCCTCCCGCAGCAGAATTAGCTAGTGCCACTTTTGGTACGTGGATGATCGCCCTTTTGATCGCTGGAGGGCTGCGTCATGGCTTCCTGACTGACGATTCATTGACACCGTCTGTTGCAGGGCATAGTCGCCTCAAGGTGCAGTTCCGCCAAAACAGACCAAAACAAAAATATTCCCGCAAAGGAATGTCGCGTGACCGCTGCCGCACCCGCGGCGGGCTTTTAAATCACTGGAGCCGCACGTCCGCTCCCGCCGGCGCATGGCGGACGTGTGGGCCGCACTCTGTCAGCCTCGTCACCCGCCTGGCGGTTGGGGCGACCTTCAGGCGGCGGACCGTGTGAGACTTCCCCCATCATGTGTCACCGGAGGAAGATGCCCTATCTTTACCGGCATGCGCTGTCCATGCATGCATACCTGCTTTACCATGCCGCCTGACTCGAATCACGGCCGTGCACAGAATCGACCAGTCACCAGGCTTCCACGGTATCCATGTTCCAAGGAGAGCTGAGACATTGCGCGACCGCGTGCCGGGAACAATCATCCGCCGTGGGGGTTTGCAGGGGGTTTACGGTGACGACTGGGCATGCTCGTGAATGTGAGCATATTTTGAAGGAAGAACACATTTTCTCATGATGCGCATCGAGCACATAATTTGTCACTGTGTACATGTGCCATGCAGCCTTTCATGGAGGAAGTTAAGGTTCATCCCGCTGGTGCTGCTGGTGAACGGTTGTCCGGCACAAATGTGACCTGTCATCCACTGACGCGTGTCGTTTGTGGACAGGTCCATTGTGCGAGTGTCCCCCATCACAAAGAGCGCCCTGCTCACCGAACAATGAACACAAGCATCGTCCCTTGTTCAATCCTGGCGCAAACGAACACAAAGCGCAAGCATCCGCGTAGACATAGCGGAAGAGCGTGCGTTGTTTTAGACACACTCATTCTGAAAAGCATTTATAGCATTGAGGTTTAGTATTTACACTCTGAATAGAAACGCTGAGAAATGATATATGACCGCACATCATCCTTTACTTTTACCATTTTATCATCCTTTTGCTAGTGTTCCGTCGACGCCGACCGGCGGCGCTCCTTCGCTGAGCCGCTCCTGGAGCTTGCACGAGCTTAAGCGGACCCGTCCCGGCACGGCAGGGCGGCGTGTGGTCTCATGATGTTGTCCTGCGCAGTCACCGTCGGCAGCGTGCCCACATCCGGGCCGCAGCCACAGCTCGGCGGCGGCGGGACGCCGCCCGCGCAGCAGTTCAGTTGTGTCGCATCCGTCAGCGTGCATCAGCGAATCACTAAGTCACTGTCGCCACGCCGGGGCCGGGGCCGGCTCGGTCCGGTTGCAACTGCGCAGTGTGGCGCTGCGAGAACCGGTGCCGGCGTTGCGGCGGGGTAAGGGCCATATGGTTCGTATCCGGCCATCGCAATAACGTGCAGGTGACCTGCGATTGTGTGCGGGTGCAGAGCGCCTGCCATGGCGAAGGCGTTCTTTCACTATGTCGGCGAAATATATGGGGCTTGGAGCCGATACTCGCGCCTTTACCTTTCCAGAACTATGAGCATGGGCTGCTCTGCTGCAGGGGCCAGTGACCCTCACGGATGTTCAAGAGATGGCAAGCCTCATCGTTGCCGAGTCTCGCGCCTTTCTCACGAACGTCACCTACAGTCAAACGATCGCGCTGCGGGAAAACTGCATTCAAAATGTCTGCTGCAGACCAGGTATGAGTGTAGACCGCTTTGCTACTTGGAAATAACACGCGGAAATTCGCCATCATGAGGCACACGCTCAAAAGTAATTTGACAGGAAACATTCACAAACCCATGATTTTCTATTGCAGATGTCTTCGTCTAGCTTTTTATGAAGCGATTTTAAATCGAAGCAAAAAAGCCGTTGGCTGCAGTCTTCCTTTCTATCAAGGTCCAAGCTTACTCTTACAGGACTATGCTGTCTTTGTTGACAGCGCCATTGCTGCCGCTTTTCTTTCGACTCTGTGTTGGAACTCGTTCCCGAAAGGAGTCCAGCGCTTTAACACCTCGCACTGACTTGCCGTGTATGTTTCCGTCAACGATATTTCCGTGAATAGGTACTGGACCGCGTGTGTTAAATTCGACCGAATGAAATGTTGCCTGGTTTATGTCGCATCAACCTACGACACATCCTGAAAGTTCCTTGCATGCCATATTTATGTCATGCCAATGACCCGTGCGGCTTCTAACTAGGAGTTTTCCGGACAAAACGTCGTGCGACATTACTTTTACTGGTAACGCGATCAGTACGGTGTTGCTTGTTTACCATTACATCAGCGCGTTTAGCGCCGGATCTTGACGTCGATGCAGCGACGCTCCACACGTTTGGGCCCCACAGCCATATGCCCCGACCTCGGTGGCCGTCTCCACGCCGTCTGGTTGTAACTGCGGCACCCGCGCGATGCGTCTTAAACATCGATCACCTCTTTAAAGTCTGCCATAGAGCATATGGCTGCGCCCAACGGTGGTTCACCAGACTGTCTGCAGATGGCAGGAGCGTCGACTACCAGCATCCGTCGTACGCACCCGCAGCGACCCGTTGTCCGTCCCATTGACCTGGCCTACGCCACTGGTGTTTGTGAGGTTACAAGTATCAGCCCGGCCCCAAAACAACCACGTTGCCAAGCCGCCATGGAGCGTTCCTTGAGCTGGGAGCGAATTTCCCTTTGAACTTCGATTCAAACGAAAATGACGCTACGCTCACGTGACATTCTTGCTTCTTGCCTGGGGTCACGGAAACGAGCTGGCTGCGTCACACACGGTATAGGCGCAAAGTTTCCTGAGAAGCCGGCATTTGTTCAGTGCCATGACATGCCTGGAAACGACCTTCAGTTGCATGGACGGCGAGCCACCACGAGCAGAACTGCATTCCTGTTAATTGCGACCCCGTCTGAATTCAAAGCAACCACAACTTCTTGCTTCATTTATTCCAGTTATTACAAATTGAATCTGAAGACCCGCCAGCGGCCAGCAGACGCGACTGACGAGAGCCTGAGGTCTCTGCTTGCAGCGCCGTAACCACCCTCCGCGAGCAGCCCATCGATTGAAACAGCGCCGCAAGCCCGCGAATCAAACGGACAAAGTCCCGGTGCAAACCCAGAGCACTTCCGACAACGCTGGGCTCGCGTCCATCTCCGACAGAGCTGGGCGAGCGTCCGTCTCCGACAGAGCTGGGCGAGCGTCCATCTCCGACAGAGCTGGGCGAGCGTCCGTCTCCGACAGAGCTGGGCGAGCGTCCGTTTCCGGTAGGTCGCAGCGCGCGGCTGAACCCGTCAACAGAGACCGTTCGCAAAGAATAATCCTGCACAGATCTGTCAGCAAAGACCCCGACGCAGGCACCGGCGACTGCGGCCGCGGTGTATGAACATCGCAGCACCCTCCAGGAGGCAACTGGGTCGGAAAGCTGTCCCTGCTGGCCCTGCACGGGCCCCGGGGCCTCAGCGGGAGCCCTCACTCCGGTCTCGGGTCACGTTCTCAACAGAGGACAAGCACGCACCCGAAAATCCTCGCTCGCAAAAAGTTTGCAGAGGAGTGATCTCCGCCGGGGTCTCCGGCAGCACGTGCGAGCCTGGTGTTGGCAGCAGGCCGTTCGCCCGGCCGAGGACTGATCTCCGTCGGGGTCTCCGGCAGCACGTGCGAGCCCGGCGTTGGCAGCAGGCTGTCCGCCCGGCCGTCTCCCTATCCCTGCCTTTTCTTGGGCGTCGGCGCGGGCTCGCCGGCGACATTCGAGGGCGATCAAAAGCACGGTGACGCACCCCCGTGCTATCACAATTTACACACGGCCTATACACTGCTATGGGAGCCCAGAGGAGAGTTCGCACGCTCTCTCGCATAAGCAGCACCCCGCGGCCGGCGCCACAGCTTCATGACTTCCACAGTTTACTGGTGCCCGCCTTGGCACCTTTCGTCTTTAGTTTCTTGGACTTCTCTGAGGTGGATACAGTCTCCTTGGAGTCGGACGACATCGGCTCGTCCTGCTCCTGTGCCTTCAAGCTCTTTCTGATTGTCTGGATCTGCCAACAAACGGCGTCTGTTAGTGCCTATCACTCCTGGACGACAAGGAAGTCAAAGACAACAGCCGCGCCTACATCCGGCATGTAGCCAATATTACAACAAAACACCACACCTGCCTACAAAAACCATTATAAAAAGTTATCATTCAAATTTACATCCTCATCATGCCTTGACATTGCTACAATGGTAGATTTGTTACTAAATTGCTACCCAGTGCTATTGTGAGACGTAACTAGTCCTGACGTTTCAAAAGTGTGCTTTTGAAATATGCCTGCACAGTGGGACACTCCCTTTAAGTCGGAGTCAAATTCAGCCACACGTAGCGAGGACACACGAGGTTACGATGAGGGACGATCTAATCTCCATCTAGAGATGCCATACTGCAATGGCCAGTGGCGCCAATTCGTCACGTATAAGTCAGTACAACCGCGACGTCTCCAAACCAGGCACCTTTGCTGCTCAACTGTAACTGGACATTACACAAATCACATTGAAGGCAAGTTGAGCCAATTTGCGGGCAGGACAGCCGATAAATCTAAGAGATGGCCGGAGTCAAAATGAACCCCCGACAGTCAAAAATGTCAAACAGCTATGGGGCTGACGCCTGACTACATGTGGACTGGGGTTAACGAGCAATCGCTATCTTGGAGCTATTTGAGTCACGTTCGAATGTTTTAGTGAGTTCATCCGATTGTCTGTGCCTGCCACGAAGCAGTTGAACTCGGCTCGGTGCGGACATTTTCAATCGCTTCTTGCACAGCGCATACACATGCTGCAACTGTAAACAGCGCAGGTATAGGGTTGTGCGTTGAGCTGTTCTTCTATAGTTGGCAATTCTACTTCTCGTTTTGAATTGTTTAATTTCGTTAATTAATGAAGCACAGGAAAAACCGATAGAGTGTACATATAGGGACAAGAGGACCGAGTGCCGACCCTTTTCATTCCCGTGAGAATGGTTTGTGCAATTTTCACGCATGCTTTATCGTTCCATACTGTTCCAACTACATGCTGCCACAGACAGACCAATATATATATATATATATATATATATATATATATATATATATATATATCCTTTCAAGTCACACAATACACATGGCACAGCTATCATGACTCGGACCTCCGCCTGATGATTGATCGCTTATATGCCGACGCATGGCCGGCCCGCCTCTACACGACCGCGCCCTTTTTGCACGCCAGTTCTGCCCTGCAAAGCTTACCACGTGACTGCCCCAGTACAGCCGCGGACACGGCTGTCGGTTTCATGCAAGGTCGAGCTTATCAAGAGGTTGGAATGGCTTTCATCTACCATATGCTAAGTCGTCTTAATTTTAGCCGGTTTTGTATCAAGCCCCTCATGCTCAGCCGGCCTCTTTCCAGTCGAGGAGGCGGACTTCGCGGGGCTGCGGAAGATTCACTTTGCAACAATGGTGTTCGACTGCATACACAATTGGAGGAAATGACATCCCGGCGCTTAGCGACGCCTCTTTCCCATGAGGGCGACATTTCTCACCTTGGCGAACGCAGGCAGAATTAGTATGTAGACGTTATAAAATGCGAAGATGATTAACTGGGGAACATCGTTATGAGCTGTTGACATTATGGACTGTGGACATTATAAACGCCCCGTCACGGAGTGGAGTAACCCACATCAGACGACAGTCAGCGCCGGAACCCGACACCATCAGGGGGCCGTCAGCCGCGAGCGAGAACCCCGCTGCCGCGCGCGCGCGCCGCCTCACCTTGGCGTCGACGGCGGCCCGGTGCCGGGCGCGCGCCTCCTTCTCGCTGTTGGCCGTGTGGATCTGGTGCTCGACGCACTGCATGACCGTGTCGCAGGTGCGGCACCAGGCCTCGAGCGTGGCCACCACGCGCGGCACGTCTTCGGGCCGCACGTCGCGGCCGGCCGCGTACTCCACCTCCAGCTGGCCGCCGCGCTGGTCCAACTTGCCCCGTATCACATCTGCGGAAGAGCCAGCCGGTGGCAGCGCCGATGAGTGCCGGTGGGACGGCATCCTGCAGACGAACTGGCGCAGATACGGCACTCGGCCCACGTGGAGGGAAAACGCATGACGTGGGCGAAGAGTACCAACAAATGCCGAGTAAGGCGCTATAAGCCATCTGAAATGGTAGTTCTGATCCTTTTCCATGCAACAAAAGACGATAAGCTAGGAATACATCACGCGTGGAAAACAGGTCAATGCGCGTTGCTGTAGCCACAGGCAGTGCGATAATAAATGTTCATCGCCCGTTTCGGGTCACACGTAACATCAGACTAGCCTTGCCAATCGGAGTCCATCATGCAGTGACCAACGCATGGACCGATCGTGTGAATTCCGTTGCTGTGATCTTGCGCAAACCAATCCAACACGGGCCTACACTCGCTCATATCTACAGATCCTGCTCACCTACCACTCAACGACGCAGCAAACAAGTCCTATGTCCGTTTCCTGTCACAGATACATCCGTTTCACACAACTCACCCGAATATATGGCAGATATAATAACGTCTTCTAATTCCCGGGTGTTATCCAGGCCCAGTTCTTTCATGAGGTCGCTATAGGGTATACGCTGAAAAGAGGGCTGACTGTCAGAATCAGTGCGAGCACGCAGCCGTGCGCAGCCGTGGAGACCCCCACCCGCTCCAGTCCAAAACCGCCGCGTCGGTCAGCGCGTGGCCGCACATCAGTCACCAGTGCCATCTGACGGCCCGAACACGAAACACAACACACGCGGACTACCTACACTCGGGGGAAACGCAACAGGCACAGGCACAGGCACAGACACACCCACACCCGTATCCGCGGTCGCAGTCGCAGTCGCAGTCGCAGTCGCAGTCGCAGTCGCAGTCGCAGTCGCACTCGCACCCGCACGCAAATCCCGCACGGATAGTTCGCCCCCTTTCCTCCGATAGGGCCCAGGGCGGGGAAGCGACTGTCGACCCACCTTGGTCTGTGTGGACATTGTGACTATGGTGAGGTGGCGCAGCTTGAGCAGCTGCACGGCGCTCAGCTCGGGCAGGCCCGGCCGGCCCCGGACGTAGTCGCGGTACACGCCGCAGGCGAACAGCCGCAGCAGCTGGTGCGTCGGCGCGTACTCCGGCTGCTTCTCCAGCTGCGGGGCGGGGGGGGGGGGGGGGGGGGGGGGGGCGGGTCTGAGCACCGCGCGTCGGTCGCGGCTCGCCAGCGGTCACGGTATCAGCACGGTCCGTGCAGTCTGCGCGCATCGCCGTCGCGACCGCGGAGCGGGCCCGGTGGGCAGGCCGGGTCTCAAGAACCTGCCATCTGCTCAAAAGCCTCGTCTATTCCACCCGATCTTTTGGCGCGGCCATCCCTGCTGACTGTACGCGTGCCAAGTGAGTGGCAAGTAGCCATGTACCAGGCACAATATGTCAAACACTGTTGTTTCGGTTTCCCACCTGGCACCACCCGAAAGTTTTGCCCAACAAAACAGCTCGGTAATGTAAGCACCTTGTTCTGTTGTCATCCAGCAACTACACCGCACACAACGCGTGAAACTCAAGCATGCCGCGCCCATCCAATTCCTATACTTCACCAACGACTTGGCGCACTGTTCCGAGCACAGGCCAAACTACCGGCACAGGGCCAGCAAAGAGAAACTTCCATAGTGCCAGTGGCAGAGCACCCGACACTCCCACCGCAGAGGGCCCAACGCCCGGCTGAGGGGGGAGGGGAGGGGGAGGTAGGAGCGCCACCACACCACGGCGTCGTCACCTCACCTCGCTGATGTTGGGCATGTCCAGCAGCTCGGCGAACACGTACAGTCCCGGAGCGTCCAGCGCCTGCCGCACCAGCTGGGCGGCGGCCGCCCCGCGCGCCGACTTGGCCAGCAGCACGAACTGCTCCAGCGACTGGGAGGGAGCCGGCGCGTCCGCCATGGCCGCTGCCGCCGACCGCGCGCTCGCTGCGGCCCACGGGAGCAGCCAGGTCACGAGACATACAATCATGGCTGCTGCCGCCGACCGCGCACTCGCTGCGGCCCACGGGAGCGGCCAGGTCACGAGACATACAGTCATGGCTGCTGCCGCCGACCGCGCGCTCGCTGCGGCCACGGTCACCCATGTCACCGTGGTCGCGCCCACGGGAGTGGCCAGGTCACGAGACATACATCCAACAGACATCAGTCCAGTGGTCTGGGGCGTGAGACTCGCCATCGAAAGAGCAGAAGCTCGCTTCAGGGACTTTGATGCTTGGGGTCAAACAATCATCTGTCTAGGGCCAACCCAACCCTCATCAGCTTAGGGTCCCTTCTGTCCCACAAGGGCGACACTTCTGGTTCAATTTCTGCCGCCGAGAAGTTGCAATGGTCTCGATGTGTAGCTAATGTAGATGTGTAGCTAAATTGATCAGAATGCAAATACCCATACTTAACAGAACTTTTGGAAATGCCAGCACAGCAATGCTTTGAGTCATTTAAGGACAGCGGGAGGTTGTTAATGATGTCATAATGGGTGAATGTTTTTGTGAGACCTGTTTAGCTGCATATTGCAAGTGATGCACACAGGTTATAGTGTCACTCTGCACAAAAGACTACCAGAAAGCAGGCGGTACAAAACCATTTAACTTAAAACTTGTAATTAGTGTGTTTGCACAGGCTATGTTAAAATCACAGTTTTTCAAAAGAAAACAAAACCATGACATAGCATAAGCATGATGTTGAAGCTGCTCTATGGGCAGTGTTTAAGGTATTATGCACAAGAGATGACACATTTCTCCAATTCCTCAAGTTTGAATGTTTGAAAGAAAATTGGCAGTGTAAATAAAATTCCATTGAGAAAACATTATAGATTGCTGACTGCACAGCACCAACTCAGCAAATATATAGCAACATCAGATTTGTTCTGATATCTGTCCACATCAACCATGTTAATTCTGGCTCAAAATAAATCAGAGCAAAATCATAGGTTCAATGATAATTTTCTCAGATGGTGGTCTGAATCAACACTGATGCAAGCATGAAAATTAATAATCATCAAAAAGCAATGTACTGCAAGAATTGGGAGCTGAGCTCACAGGTATAAACCATCTTGAATGGAACTAAGAATGAATGTAAGCAGACCAAAATGGAAATGTAGAGTATGTAAAAAGAATAACAAATATGTTTAACCTATTATGACCCTGTCAAAATTTGGAAACTGGTCACAACAACCAAACAACTCAAAGGTGGAATGCTTGCACTTTGAACATTTTCCAAAGAGCCATATTTGTGATGTTTTCCAGGACTGGTAATAGCAAACTCAGTGTCAATTGGTTGTTCATGTAAGCATATGACAAGTTATGGCATATGTAATGAAAGGATGACATTTGAGTGTCCACCATCTGAAGGGCCAAATGGGACACCAGAACCAGTGCCCAGCCAAGCCCTGCTGACAAAATATGACAGCATGCCAATGGCAGCAGTTGATGGATACTAGAGTACAAATAACATGAATAATAAAAAATTGGATAATATGGAAACTTTTTTATAATGTTCAGGATAATAATAAAACAGATAATCATAGTAATAAATCATGTATATCTGACTGGCAACAGGTAATAACAAAACCAATACATGTGCAAGTCCCACCATTCTACCAATGACCAGTCACTGGTCCATTGTCAGCATCACCAGCATATGTGTGCATCAGTCACAGGTTCCATTTGTAAGAGTGTGCATTGGTGTAGGTCAATTGTTTAACTTTTTCCAAAGCCATCATCACAATCTAACATATCTGCTCAGTGCTTACTCTAATGATCTCACCATCTGACATTGTCCACTACCCAATAATACTAACATATTATTTTGAATAGCACACACATGGTAAAAAAATGCATGGGTTTGTGAGAATCCCTCCCACAAAACAAGACAATCTGTGCATGCACACTTTTCCATGATTAATTCATTGCAAAACACAGAAAACAACATGCATAAATAAAAGTGTAACATGATATAAATGACATGGTGATCTTTAACTTATAAATGCACTCATTATGGCAAACTAAGATACACCCAACATCCAGACTGCAAAAGATACATGTTATAGAGAAAATGCCCAGAATGGCAGCCATTACTGCAACAATTCAGCACATGTATACCACAAATTTAAGCTCCTAGAGTTAAGACTACAGTTGACACAACTTAAGATGTATAGAACCAATGTTTCAAGATATTTCAGTGCAATAATAACCATAAGTATGGAAACTCCATGAATATTTTTCATACCAAAGAACTGTGAAAATGCAGTTACATTTGGCTTTGCTTAAGCTCAGTATAAACAAGCACAAACTTCAGCTCAACAATGTAACACAGCCATTTGGCGCACTGCATGGATTTTTAGCAGATAATTGGCCAACATGGTCAAACCCCATGCATGCTACCACTGATGATACAGTACAGTTGGCAGCTGCAGGTATACCATACCATAAACCAATGATCCCAGTATTGTGAAGCCTCAGCTGTTCTTGTTAATTATGATCAGGGGCAAAAATACAAGGAATTGAGCACATCACACTATTTAGAGCATTATAGGAAAGAAATCGTGCTAGGCGCGAGCCGACCAAATAACCTGTTGCACAGTATAGCAAAGAAAATCCACCGCATACTTAACCACCTAACCACAACGTTCTAAAGAAATGGATCCGAAATACGGATTCTGACAGTACCATGTCTGGAAACCAAACATCACCACAAACTCACCAACACAAGGGTCTAAATGTTCTTTTATGACACCCTTTCCTTGGGAACCGAGCACTACAACTGTCCAGAAAAACACAGACAGTGCAACAGTCACCTAAAATAAACGAAACTAAATTTATTCTCAGACCCCAAACGCCAAAACCGCGGCAGCAGGAGTGGCGATTCGGTCCTAGCGCACCACACCAATCGAATCTGACGCATGTGCTTTGTATTTGTCTACATTCGTCACGTATTTCCACAAAAGTTTCAGCAAAATATTACCTATGCGCCTAACTTTGGCGAGCTTTGCTTTCAAATAATTATTCTTATGTTTTAAAAATATCACGCAAGAACCACTGGCATCTGAATTATTAATTGTAAGTAGTCATTGTCTTAGACGTTTATAGCGCGCATGTGAAGAATTACGAAGCGGAATCTAACGAGATCAACGCACACTACGGAAGTTTGCCGGGGTGGTTGTTCATTCGGGCTGAGTGGTGCATCAGTTTGCGGGCACATTTATGGTTTCTGCGCTGTATTTTTCTTTTTAAAGTGCTACTGTGATTTTCCTTCACTTTCTGGTGACATCACAGAACGGACGATGTCCCCGAGGCCAGAAAAGGTAATGGGTTGTGTGCTATTGTGGAGCCTCCATATCCTGTCACTTTGGACATCCATGCACTACCGACCTGTAGCGTGACCGGGCATGAATATCTCACTTTGTCTCGTTATACTGATCTCCAAAATGTAATTTTAACATGAACATCTGTGCTTCTTTTTTTGTGTTGTAATATGTGTGCCATAGCAGGGCGCGGAGGAGATGCATTAATGTTTAAGAATGTAAATTAAGATAGATGTCAGCGGTCAGAACATCAGTCAGTGGTCAGAACATCTACCTATTTGTAGCTGTTGCATTTAAAAATTACCCCACAAAGACAAATGTAATGTGGGCCACTGGATGATAAGGGTCTTAATGCAGTAGACATGCGATGAGCTAGCATTCTCTGATGTTTTATGTTCCCAGAAATTTGTGATTATGAGGACTATTACTAGTTCAGCAGTATAATAGCATGGTATAGTGTCTTAAGCAGTTATTAAGTCTTAAGCAGTTCATTTTGTAGCAAAGTTTTGCAGGAGTACATCATTTTTTATTTAGCTAGAACACCAGAAAGTAAATATACAACAAAACAACATTGAATGTAATATTTACATGCATCCAGGTGACTGAATACCCTTCTTTCAGTTCAGGGGGATCAGGTTGACCCTGTTGTGATCTCAAGAACTGTGAGGAAGGGACATGCAGTGCACATGGTGGTCATTCTGCATGTAAACTCACTTGTATCAAATTGTGAGGTCCATTAGTCATGAGCCTGTGGTCAAGTATGGTCAAACAAGATTGAACACTAAGTTGGTGCACCAAGTGCCCCCAGACCTTGTCATGAACCTAGATATCTCTGCTAAGCAAATGGTTACTGGTGTTCATTTTAGAACAGTGACCTTGTTTGACCTTAAGAAGGTCATGGTGACAAAAAAAACATACAGAATTGTTTGGATTTTTTAATGTGAATAAGTGTTAAGAATTATGCTTGGCAATTCATTAAACACATGGTTTAACTATGGGATGTTGGGTCAGTGCCCTACTCTGACCAGTAAAGGGATAGTCATAGGGACCAGTCATATTTGCAGATAGGGACCAGATAGGGACCAGATAGGGACCAGTCATATTTGCTTGTGGCTTTGAACTTAATAAGACAGTAGTATGAGCCTCATTGCTCAGAGAAAACCAGAAGAATAGAGATATAGTTTGGTTGGTATCTCAGCAACATGCCTTTATCAAAACAAGAGCAGGAGAATTCAAAATTGCTTGGCAAAGAGGCCAGTGGGATGGGGCAATTTAACAATTTTGAGAGGTAATTTTGAATTCACTTCCTCTCTTATTGTGATGAAGGTATGATGCCAAAATAACAACCCAATGATGTTTCCATTATCCTGGTTTTCTCTGAGGAATAAGGCTGATGCTACCATCTTATCTATGTGAATAATGTTTCTCACTGGTGCACTGAACAACCTACATGGTTTTGAACTTGAAATTTTAAAGGTCATTTGGTTGCTGTTCACGGCTCTACCTTTCCTCCTCTACCCTTCCTCCTCCTTCCTCTAGTTTCCAGGCTACATGCTCACAAAGATGTGCAGACTATTTCATGCAAATTATTTAAAGGTTTCTCAGGCATCCATGGCACCATGGTAATGTCATTCAAGTCCAGCCATTCCACTGGCCATGTGTAACTAGAGATCAATACAAATATTGTCCAGTCATATCTGGCATTGGCGAGCATGATTTCCAGGTATAACAGCCATCACTTGTGCTGTGAAAAATTCTGTGAAAGCTGTCCAAAGTTCTTTCACCAATTATGTTCTGTACTTTGTAATTCAGGAGTTTACAATTTCCCTAGCCATTATGGAAACAATATTTGTAACCTAATAACTTGGGAATACCTCTTTAACCCAGTATGTGTGTGTGTGTAAATATCTTATGTTCATGCATAATGATGCAAGGATATCCTAAGAAGGGGCCAAAACATAAGCACCTAATGATAAGCACATAATGTTCAGCCACATCCATCAGGACCACATGCCACCTCTCCAGGTGTTGAGGAACTACCAGTGAGTACTGCCATGCAAATGTTCTATGACATAATCCAACAAGGAAGTGGTAAGGAGCATGCTGCTCTGTATCATTCTAAATGCTATCATCCCAAATTCAAGTGTTTTGTTGCCTAAGGAACTGTCTGAAAGATGTAGATCATTGTCTGACACTCCATTGTCACATCAGATTGAATGATTCCCCAGAAATTGCTTGTGCTTACAGCAATGGTTTGACTTTGGCCTACCATTAGTCATCAACCCTGCAAGTTACATCTAATTGTAGTATAGCAAGGGATTCAATATGTATTTGCCCACAGCTGTGCAAAATTTGGTGTGGATATGGCACACTATTGAAAAATGCTTCTGTGAAAACTTTTGCAGGGTCAAATTAACCCCACCTGAACATGTCTTAAGATGCTGCATGGAATTGTCTAAGGAGATTAACTGCACAATAATTCTTGATGTAACAAAAATGATAAGCCATTCATCACTGGAAGTATTGCTGCAGGCTGCAAGCCAAGGAAGCCATAATTTAAGGCTTGTAAAGTTTTAGTTTTGTGGTCTTGGCACATTTATCTCAATTTATGGATTCTGAAGCTGTTTCTAGGACTGCCTGTAACATCAAATGTCTCAACAGCCAGGGCAGAGAAAGATGTGGAACTCAGTACATAGTATACATCATATATAAATCACTAAGCAGTCTAATCCATCTCAGCCATGGGGAGGCTAGTTATTGACAAGGAAGCATCCAGTTTATCATTTAAAATGGTTCATGGGCATAATATGCTATGGCCAACACATGGGGAAACTAAGACATCAAAGTAATGGGGCCATGGGATACATTTGTTTGTGACCACTATATGCCAAATAGTGTGTGTCATAGTATTTTTGTCAGTAACAATGGTGCATTGTGTATTGAAATGTTATGACAGGTTGACTTCCAAATCCAGCAATTAGTCACACCCACATGGCTTCACAATGGTCCCCAGCTCAGTTAGCTTTTGGTTGTGTCATCTTCTTGATGACAAATGATGGCTTACATCTGTTGTCATCTCACTTCTCCACTGCTTTGTATGAGATACTGATACACTATGGCAGGAGATAGTGTAGATTGTAAGTACTGTGTAGGTCCAAATGACAGCAACATGCTATCTATTATTTTCCTTGGTGCAGAAGGATTGTAGGCTCTGGTTCTGCCTTTTTGTCCATTAATGACATGCTGTATACTTAATGAATAATGCTAAGCTAAACTGGGGTTTTCACCATCAGGAGCCTGCATGCAGGCTGATAAAGTGTTACTGGAACTGATAATACCGTCAGTTTGAGCATCCCATCCATTCTGGTTGTCATATTCTCCAGAAGCAATATCTTGGCAACCACTGATGGTGCAGTTGTTGAGTTTTCAACAACAAAAGTAATCTTTAAAAGTTGCCCAGCATGAATTGTCAAGTACTGCACACAAGGTTTTGGCCAAGCAGATTTTTCTTGAAATATGACAATATCGTCAGAATTTTACCTATGTCACCTACTTCAGAAAACATGGAAAGCAAAATTGTTGGTTCACAAGGAAAGAAAATCACAGACTTAAAGCTCTGTGCAGGCCTCAGTAACATGACACTGCAGAAAAATGTGGCTAATAGATTCTGAGGGAGAACAAGGTGACCAGTCATGTTGGTATAACATTAATTAAAACTATTTGGAGGGTTTTCATAGACTGAATTGTTAGATCGTAGTAATTAGAACAGAAAACCAATCACACTGTGCCAGAAAATGTACCATCTGCGTCTTAATAACCTGTCTCATAGCTTGCAAGGCATGGGTGCGCCAGTAGTTGACCGGAAAACGGCCAAGATCACCTTTTCCTAGAACAGTCTCGACTGCGAAGCTCTAGCTCAAAACCAAGAGATTGGACCACGAAAGCTACACATACATGAGTTGACAGCACCTCACAATGCAGCGCAAGTTCAGCATTTGGTGAACAGTTCGGAAGGCGACTCTCTTTGCTACTCAACTTGTGGTCAACGAGTGTTTTGGCCCTACCAATACGGGGCTTTGCTGATGGACACACTTATAAGGCACAAACGCTTTACGGTGCTGACATTTTGAAAGCCGGGAATCCCTATCGTAGGTGGCGTGCTGAACGGCGAAGCTCGTATGCAGGGCGCCTGACCGTTTCCTACGCTCTGCTGTGCCGCAGATGGAGGTAGACGGCGGTAAGGGGGACGGTCTGAAGCCTTACTACATCGCCAAGATTGAGGAACTGCAGCTGGTGGTGGCAGAGAAGAGCCAAGACCTTCGCCGACTACAGGCGCAGCGAAACGAGCTCAATGCCAAAGGTGAACACGGCTGTATTGTGCGGTGGCTATGGATGACACGTTCTGTATACATCGGGTGCCGGTTACCAGTCTTAGAGCGAAGTGCAGATGATGACTTATGGCTAGATCTTTGCTCGACTTGGCCTCAGTTCCCTGCAATGTCCATATTAAAGAGTCAGGATACTAATGTTAATTCAAACACTTCACTGATATGTTTGACTCAAGACACATTCGATGCACTAAATACTGGCATGCGGTAGAACTCCGCTTGCGGGCTTTTTGAGAGGACAGACGTCGGCCCCCGCCCGACGTCTGTCGGTGGCTGGTACCGCTGTTGTCTGTGATGAGGTCTCGGCTGTCGCTGACGTGGACCGCGGCTGTCGGTGGCTGGTACCGCTGTTGTCTGTGATGAGGTCTCGGCTGTCGCTGACGTGGACCGCGGCTGTCGGTGACTGGTACCGCTGTTGTCTGTGATGAGGCCTCGGCTGTCGCTGACGTGGACCGCGGCTGTCGGTGACTGGTACCGCTGTTGTCTGTGATGAGGCCTCGGCTGTCGCTGACGTGGACCGCAGCTGTCGGTGACTGGTACCGCTGTTGTCTGTGATGAGGCCTCGGCTGTCGCTGACGTGGACCGCGGCTGTCGGTGACTTGGACCTCGACTGTCGATGACCTGGGCCGCGACTGTCGGTGACCTGGACTGCGAGTGTCGGTGACCAGGACCTCGAATGTCGGTGACCTGGGCCGTAGCTGTCGATGACGTGGACCGCGGCTGTCTGTGACTTTGACCTCGACTGTGGGTGACCTGGGCCGCGATTGTCGATGGCCTGGGCCGCGACTGTCGATGACCTGGGCCGCGGCTTTCGGTGACGTGGACGGCCCCTGACAGTGACCGGGCCTCGGCTGTTGCTGTTGCAGTCCGTCTGCTGCGTGAGGAGCTGCAGCTGCTGCAGGAACAGGGCAGCTACGTCGGCGAGGTGGTGAAGCCCATGGACAAGAAGAAAGTGCTCGTCAAGGTGCATCCAGAGGGCAAGTTCGTGGTGGACATCGACAAGAATATCGACATCAACGACGTGACACCCAACTGCCGTGTGGCCCTGCGCAACGACAGCTACACACTGCACAAGATCCTCCCCAACAAGGTGAGCGGCCCGCTCTGCTGTAGCACTCAGCCTCTTCGGCAGACAAAATGAACTGCGACAAGTGGTGAAACAAAACGGTTGCTTCTTTATAACAGTTGGCCCCTGCTGTACGGAGCTCTTCCAGGGCAAGACATTTGGTGAACGAATAGAAACAAAAGTTAGGTGATCACTAGCTTCCCAGCATATTATTCAATTAACATAGCACTTTTCTAGTGATCTGTGCTAGTGCATTGAAATAACGCTGCGGTGTGGGAGGCGCGTGGCGCGTTCATTCCACCTACTGCCGGCCATTTAACCACAGGTGGCGTGTTTGCTTTGGCCTGTAGATTCATTACGCCCTTCAGGTGTCGTCCATCACTAGCTAGACCCAGGTATTCATTACACCCTTCAGGTGTCGTCCATCACTAGCTAGACCCAGGTATTCATTACGCCCTTCAGCTGTCATCCATCAATAGCTAGACCACGTATTCATTACACCCTTCAGGTGTCGTCCATCACTAGCTAGACCCACGTATTCATTACACCCTTCAGCTGTCATCCATCAATAGCTAGACCCACGTATTCATTACGCCCTTCAGCTGTCATCCATCAATAGCTAGACCCACGTATTCATTACACCCTTCAGGTGTCGTCCATCACTAGCTAGACCCAGGTATTCATTACACCCTTCAGCTGTCATCCATCAATAGCTAGACCCACGTATTCATTACGCCCTTCAGCTGTCATCCATCAATAGCTAGACCCACGTATTCATTACACCCTTCAGGTGTCGTCCATCACTAGCTAGACCCAGGTATTCATTACACCCTTCAGCTGTCATCCATCAATAGCTAGACCACGTATTCATTACACCCTTCAGGTGCGTCCATCACTAGCTAGACCCACGTATTCATTACCACCCTTCAGCTGTCATCCATCAATAGCTAGACCCACGTATTCATTAACCCTTCAGCTGTCATCCATCAATAGCTAGACCCACGTATTCATTACACCCTTCAGCTGTCATCCATCAATAGCTAGACCCACGTATTCATTACACCCTTCAGCTGTCATCCATCAATAGCTAGACCCACGTATTCATTACACCCTTCAGGTGTCGTCCATCACTAGCTAGACCCAGGTATTCATTACACCCTTCAGCTGTCATCCATCAATAGCTAGACCCACGTATTCATTACACCCTTCAGCTGTCATCCAGCAATAGCTAGACCCAGGTATTCATTACACCCTTCAGGTGTCGTCCATCACTAGCTAGACCCAGGTATTCATTACACCCTTCAGCTGTCATCCATCAATAGCTAGACCCACGTATTCATTACACCCTTCAGGTGTCGTCCATCACTAGCTAGACCCAGGTATTCATTACACCCTTCAGCTGTCATCCATCAATAGCTAGACCCACGTATTCATTACAACCCTTCAGCTGTCATCCAGCAATAGCTAGACCCAGGTATTCATTACGCCCTTCAGCTGTCATCCATCAATAGCTAGACCCAGGTATTCATTACACCCTTCAGCTGTCATCCATCAATAGCTAGACCCACGTATTCATTACACCCTTCAGGTGTCGTCCATCACTAGCTAGACCCAGGTATTCATTACGCCCTTCAGCTGTCATCCATCAATAGCTAGACCCATGTATTCATTACACCCTTCAGGTGTCGTCCATCACTAGCTAGACCCATGTATTCATTACACCCTTCAGGTGTCGTCCATCACTAGCTAGACCCAGGTATTCATTACACCCTTCAGGTGTCGTCCATCACTAGCTAGACCCAGGTATTCATTACACCCTTCAGGTGTCGTCCATCACTAGCTAGACCCAGGTATTCATTACACCCTTCAGGTGTCGTCCATCACTAGCTAGACCCAGGTATTCATTACACCCTTCAGGTGTCGTCCATCGCCAGCTAGACCCAGGTATTCATTACACCCTTCAGGTGTCATCCATCAATAGCTAGACCCACGTATTCATTACACCCTTCAGGTGTCGTCCATCACTAGCTAGACCCAGGTATTCATTACACCCTCAGGTGTCGTCCATCACTAGCTAGACTCAGGTTATTTTCATTACACCCTTCAGGTGTCGTCCATCACCAGCTAGACCAGGTATTCCATACACCCTTCAGGTGTCGTCCATCACCAGCTAGACCCAGGTATTCATTACACCCTTCAGGTGTCGTCCATCACTAGCTAGACCCAGGTATTCATTACACCTTCAGTGTCGTCCATCACTAGCTAGACCCACGTACTTCATTACACCCTTCAGGGTCGTCCATCACTAGCTAGACCCAGGTATTCATTACACCCTTCGAGGTGTCGTCCATCACTAGCTAGACCCAGGTATTCATTACACCCTTCAGGTGTCGTCCATCGCCAGCTAGACCCAGGTATTCATTACACCCTTCAGGTGTCCATCCATCAATAGCTAGACCCACGTATTCATTACACCCTTCAGTGTCGTCCATCACTAGCTAGACCCAGGTATCATTACACCCTTCAGGTGTCGTCCATCACTAGCTAGACTCAGGTATTCATTACACCCTTCAGGTGTCGTCCATCACTAGCTAGACCCAGGTATTCATTACACACCCTTCAGGTGTCGTCCATCGCCAGCTAGACCCAGGTATTCATTACACCCTTCAGGTGTCGTCCATCGCCAGCTAGACCCAGTATTCATTACACCCTTCAGGTGTCGCCATCACTAGCTAGACCCATGGTATTCATTACACCCTTCAGCTGTCATCCATCAATAGCTAGACCCAGGTATTCATTACCCTTCAGGTGTCGTCCATCACCAGCTAGACCCAGGTATTCATTACACCCTTCAGGTGTCGTCCATCGCCAGCTAGACCCAGTATTCATTACACCCTTCAGGTGTCGTCTCACTAGCTAGACCCACGTATTCATTACAACCCCTTCAGGTGTCGTCCATCACCAGCTAGACCCAGTATTCATTACCCCTTCAGGTGTCGTCCATCACCAGCTAGACCCATGTATTCATTACACCCTTCAGGTGTCGTCCATCACTAGCTAGACCCATGTATTCATTACACCCTTCAGGTGTCGTCCATCACCAGCTAGACCCAGGTATTCATTACACCCTTCAGGTGTCGTCCATCACCAGCTAGACCCAGGTATTCATTACACCCTTCAGGTGTCGTCCATCACTAGCTAGACCCATGTATTCATTACACCCTTCAGGTGTCGTCCATCACTAGCTAGACCCATGTATTCATTACTCCCTTCAGGTGTCGTCCATCACCAGCTAGACCCATGTATTCATTACACCCTTCAGGTGTCGTCCATCACTAGCTAGACCCATGTATTCATTACACCCTTCAGGTGTCGTCCATCACCAGCTAGACCCATGTATTCATTACACCCTTCAGGTGTCGTCCATCACTAGCTAGACCCAGGTATTCATTACACCCTTCAGGTGTCGTCCATCACTAGCTAGACCCAGGTATTCATTACAACCCTTCAGGTTGTCGTCCATCACTAGCTAGACCCAGGTATTCATTACACCCTTCAGGTGTCGTCCATCACTAGCTAGACCCAGGTATTCATTACACCCTTCAGGTGTCGTCCATCACTAGCTAGACCCAGGTATTCATTACACCCTTCAGGTGTCGTCCATCACTAGCTAGACCCAGGTATTCATTACACCCTACAAGAGTGTTGTCCATCACTAGCCAAACCCAGAAGGCAGAAGCCATACTAAGGTGTGCGTCACCGGCAATAATGACGACTTTCCTTCATTGATTCCTCTCGCTGGTGTACTGGGCAAAAGCCAATGACACAAACGGCGCAACATTATTGTGAAGGGGCCAGATGTTGGAGAAATCGGACCCGGCTTCATTTCTGTTATAACAGATACATATCATGTTTTTTGGGGGAAAGTACACGTCAGAGGCTCTTAATAAGACTGCGCAGTAGACTCTGTCACGAGAGAGCGTAGCAGCTCCCGTGAATGGTCTCATCCAGGCCACGTCAGTCGACATTTAACAATAAAATGAATTCTCATTGTAGGTGAAATTGGCTGGCGAATGGCTGTCCCATTCACTAGAGCTCCACGTATCTTGGTAACGCCATTAAAGGAGGGCGGTCTCAGATGGCTTAATTTCGTGGGAAAGCTTTCCAACGTAAAGGAGAACTTTCTTAGTTTAAATTCCGTAAATACTCCTATTGACTCTCGACGATCCCACTGCCATCTTTCAGCTTTATTTGGTACCGTCTGGAAACTAAAGCACTTCAAAGTTCTGTAGTACTGGCTCTGAGACCCAGTGGAACCCTCTGACGTGTATGCCGGGCGTGTCTCTGAGAAGCACGCCATCTGGGCGTCGCGAGGAGCGTGCCATACCCGGATGATCGCCGCCGCTCTCCCCCGGGGATGTTACTGCGGACCCGTCCCAGCGCCGCGGCTGTTGCATGTTTGCCGCGTCACGCTGTGGAAAGCCAGGAGTGCCCGCGGCTGATCGCTCGCAGGTGTTCCGATGTGCTACATGCGTCGGCTGGAGTTGCTTCAGTGATGCCGATTTAATGACGTCACGCAGATGGTGTCTGGTCTAGATGAACCTGCTGCGTCGTCTTAGCGATCATGCGGCCAGGGGCCAGTTATGCACCAGTAGAGGATCCACCTAGTTTTCGAAGCTCTCGTACCCAAATTTTTACCTGAACAGTTGAGTCACCTGTGACGTCAGAGGAAGCCACGTCACGCACGAACGACGAAGTCCAAAGTGTAATACTTGTGAAGCAGCTACATATGGCGCCAGAATCAGCATCCTCAGGCTACCCATTGCAAATGAATATGTCGTTATTGAGGTACACGCAATCACTCGCCGCTTCTGACCTGAACTGGCCGCACTTCTCCAGGTGGACCCCCTGGTCTCACTGATGATGGTGGAGAAGGTGCCGGACAGCACGTACGAGATGGTCGGTGGCCTCGACAAGCAGATCAAGGAGATCAAGGAGGTGATTGAGCTGCCGGTCAAGCACCCCGAGCTGTTCGAGGCGCTTGGCATCGCCCAGCCCAAGGGCGTGCTGCTGTACGGCCCTCCTGGCACAGGTATGCGATGCTAGCGCTGACTGGCGGAAACATGGGAACTGTTAGTGCGCTGCTTTCGCGCTGATAGCTCCGATGCGTAAGTCTCCGCACCGTGTATGGACGGGTCGGTCTTCACTGGCGAGGTAGGCACGCCAGGACAGGCCATTCGTGTCGTGCACGAATGGTCCCTGTTGAATGGTAGGAGACGTCAGTGTTTAGTGACGTTCAATTAATTTGTATATGCCAAATTGGATAATAGGGGCAGATTTGTGTTGGACTCAAATACATATTTCGGGATCTGATTCAGCTCATGACTCAGTGCCGTTTCAAATAACTTGATTCAGCTCAATTCAGACTTATTGCTCGCACGTAGGTCTGGTAAGTCCCAAATGAATAATTTCTCATAATGGCTAAATGATTATATATATATATATATATATATATATATATATATATATGCACAATTCTAAGACTGTTTTCATCACACCGTCTTTAATACGATTTTAATTTGAGCTCTGGCTCACTGACACCACAATTGTTGAAATGATTGGTTCATGATTCAGGTCTGAAGCTGACGAAGAATGTGTTTCTGCCCTTGCCTCAAAGCGACATTTTCCCTAACGAGCAGACCTAGCTCACAGCTCATCCCAAAATGATTGACTCGTGAGCCGATTCAAGTTTCATCTCGAATCGGACAGAAGTCTGGGTAGGAGCTGCTCGTGAGGCAGTCGATTTTCTAATTGCTGGGTCTGCCAGCTATTTGCCGACTAGAAAGTTGTGAACGCCACTTCAAATTGTTTGAAAGTGCCGTTGTCGTCGTATCGGCCAAATTGCACTGTTAGGTTTTATGGTCGATAGCAGGAGCAGTTTCCGGACGAATATGCCACTTCTGAGCGCGGGGCTCGCCTGGCGGCGACGGGGTAGGCCCAGACTGCTGCTAGTCGGGAGCCGCTGCCCAGCAGGGACCGGGCGCTGTTCTCGCAGCGCCCGCCGCTGGCGACGAAACCTGACGCCGTCCGCGCCGCTGGGGCAGGAGTCGCTGCCCAGCAGGGACCGGGCGCTGTTCTCGCAAAGCCCGCCGCTGGCGACGAAACCTGACGCCGTCCGCGCCGCTCGGGCTGGGGTAACCGGCCGCGCGGGACCTTCTGCGAACGCCGGTCTCGTGCATTAGTGTTGAATGGGGCCGGCCGGCTTCAAATCGGCGGCGCCGCAGCTCGCGTTTCGAGCGGAGCGCCGCGTCAGAAATGGGAGAGCGCCGGCGAGGCCCGCTGCGCGCCCTGAAGCGTGACATCAACCCGCCGCGGGGCGGCATTAAACATCGCTCTGCCGTTGTCGCGGCGGCCGGCTAATTACACCGGTGTCGCCCGGCTCGCCAGCCTCGACAGCCAGCCACACTGCTGTCGGCTGGCTGTCTGCCGGATGGGACTTCATCAGGCCGGCCGCGGCTCGCGGCTCCGTCTATGTCGTTTTCGAGGAACCGGAGACGGGGCTCGTCAATACCGGACGGCTGGGTGGCCGCGCGTGACCGCCGCGATGTCGTGTGCCGCAGGCAAGACGCTGCTGGCGCGCGCCGTGGCGCACCACACCGACTGCACCTTCATCCGCGTCTCGGGCTCGGAGCTCGTGCAGAAGTTCATCGGCGAGGGTTCGCGCATGGTGCGTGAGCTGTTCGTTATGGCCAGGTGGGTCCCCGGCCGGTCTCGGTCGCCTCAGCAGCCGGGCGGTGCACGTCTCTGCGCTGCTGTAGGCTGGTGTTACGGTATGGACGGTCTGCTGCGACTGAGGTCGGTACAGAACCTGCCGGGGAGGTGGCCGACGCTCAGGTCAATGAGTGAGGTCACTGTGTTTGAAATTGATGGGTCGCTCGATTTAGGGCATTACTAGCCTTCCTACTTAACTGTCTTTGAAATGTCGTTTTTGATGTTGCGATTTTTTGTTGGGTCTTAAGCTCTTCTTACTATTTTTTGCTGCTCCTGTGTACATTTTTTCTTTATTTTCTCCATCATAATAAAATTGCGACATTATTCTGCCTCGCAATGCGTGTGCAGTGATCATTCAATTATCATGCCAGGCTATTGGATGGTCACGCCAGACTATTGGTTGGTGATGCCATTCAGACAATGATTTAATTCTTGTACGTCCTTGAGCGGAACACTGGAAATAGTGGTTGGAAGCTACAAATACTCATAAACAAGCTTTTTAGCATTCACTGTGGCCTGCGATTGGATCGTGCAACCTATTTCGTCGTTAATGATCCCCCCTTCGTGTTTTTCCTGTGGATATGCAAGCGGCACACACACGACTTTTCTTCGAGCAATTTTGAACGGCTGGCAATACCGTGCTAAAACCTGCGGTTCTAAAGCAGGCTTTATGTCCCGACTTCAGGCCATATTATCCAAGTTCATTTGCTAATGATCACAGCTGTTAATACCAGTGGCGTTCAGTTCACTTATATAACGTAATGGCAATGATGCTGAGCTCACTAATGTGATGGGATGCCAATGACTTCATTTCCCGTGACATCGTCGCTCGCGGCCGCGCGGCACAGGTGTCCCCCGGCCCGAACGAGGTCATCCCTTTGTGACGACGCTGCGCACCGAGCCGTTAGAGAACGCTGGTCGCCTGTTGACGCTTAGAACGCAGATGGGACCACAAAAACAGCCGCTTGGGACAGCCAGCCGGCTTGCTGTTTGCTTGTTAGCTCAGGTGACCGAGCGCCGTCCGTGTACGCATGGCGGCACAGTAGGCGTACTGGTGCGCTGCTCTGTCTTCTCCCACGTGACACTGCTATCCTTGCGATTGCTACGCTTGGGTGACGGACGCAGGAACTCTACGCGTGACTTTGGTGCTGGGGGCACGGCGCATCCTAGTTGCTCCATGGCCTGCGGCGTTTCTTGACGACGTGCGTACCCTCAAGGCATCAAATTGAATACGCCTAGTGTACGGCATCGGCATTGCCACGATGTCGTGTACGTCTGCGCAGGCTCGTCTGACCATTGTTGTGTCTATGTCTGACGGCTGACATGGCTGACCGCTGCCATGTCTAACCTTGACATGTGTGACCGTTGTTGTGTCTGACCGCTGACATGTCTGACCGTTGTGTCTGACCACTGGCAGGCCTGACCGCAGACGTGTCTGACCGTTGTTGTGTCTGACCGCTGACATGTCTAACCGTTGTGTCTGACCACTGGCAGGCCTGACCGCAGACGTGTCTGACCGTTGTTGTGTCTGGCTGCTTGTGTGTCTGACCGTCGGATGGTCGGGCTGCAGGGAGCACGCGCCCTCCATCATCTTCATGGACGAGATAGACAGCATCGGCTCCACCCGAATCGAGTCGGGCTCGGGCGGCGACTCGGAGGTGCAGCGCACCATGCTGGAGCTGCTCAACCAGCTGGACGGCTTCGAGTCGACCAAGAACATCAAGGTAGGCTTACAAAAGGATAAAGACGGGGTAGTATCATCGCGGATGAAATGCTTGTTCGGACCAGAGCTATCGCCCTTCCCGGTCACCGCAGTTGTTAAAGCGCAGGATTCGCAACAAGAAAACCCCGGTCCGAATCCCAGCAATTTCAAGGGATTTCAATTTCAAGGCAGTTTCAATTCTCGTGACGCTGAAATGGCTGAAAACATGGCTGAAAACTAAGCCTCATCCAGGCCTTCTCAGGCCTCAATAACACCTGATGACTGCCAGGGAGTGAACCGGCTGATACGTTGTCTACTTAGAAACGCACCAGACTAGGGCGATAGTCGCGAACAATTATTCCACCCATCAAGTGAGGCGCCAGCCAGCTCCGGGTACCGCGCCGCCCGAGGCGCAGGTGAGCCAGACAGGTGGGCGGCGATGGATTGCAGATGGAGCGTGTCTGCGAACCACGGCCCGATGCTTCCCGTTACCGCCTGGGGAGGGGAGGGGAAGGGGGCTGCAGCGTGGCGCCGTCCACAGCGCACGTCTAATGGGGCAAAGTGCCCGTAAATCCAAATGAAGCCATCTGAGTGGACGACCTTCCAGAAGCCGAAGGCGTGATATACCCGACGCCTGGCCGCTGTGATCGCCGTCCTCTTGTGCGGTTGCGTCAAACTTGCCTTGCCGACCGCCGTGCTCCAAGGCCCGGGGATTCCCCAGCGTGCGCCAGCATCAGGCGAGGTCGCTGCCCTCTCCCCGCGGCGGCCCGCGGTCCGCGCTGTGGGTCACATGTGCGTGCCGACCGATCCATACGGCGGCGGGCCGGCGGGGCCCCGGCCTGCTCGTTTGTCACCGGCCGCGGTCGGGAGCACGCGCGCCCGCCGAAGCAGAGCGCCGTGATGAATAGCGGCAAAACTGTGTTAGTAGATTGTTGGCAGTGCGCTCTGCTGGCTATCGACTTTTCAAACAGGTCGTTTGACGAATGGTAACGGGCGAGGACAGCCCAACGGTTTGCCATTTTCCAATGCTGTCAGGGACGTTTTCCTCGTTTATGGATGCGACGAGGACGTGCCCGTGACGTCAGTGGTATTTGCGTCGCTGTCTGGTCCAGGTAGATTCCCCGCTCATGAAACAGTGGCCTGGTGACTGCAAGACGATGGCCGCAAGCTTGGTCTTCGGAGCAGTGATGGATCGTTCGAAATGTGAGGGACGACTCTTATGGTAGCTGTCATGATGTAAAACCATCTATCTTTGTAGCATATCCCCTGTAGGATTATGATGACTTGTTTTCATTTTGTACGTGCCGCTGGTATGCCCTCCATCATTTTGACGTGGTAAACACCACTGCTATGATTTACGAAAGAAGTGAGGCCCCGCTATGTTTCCACGGCGCGTTGGCTCTGTAGTGCTGCGTGCCTATGGATGATAGCCGACCATGGAATTCAGTAATGCACAAGTGCCGGAACTGTCATGAATTTAAACTGGGGACTAGACTATGCTCATTTCAGATGAACATCAAGCGCATGAATGAAATGAGACATGAAATGTTCATGTTCATTGAAATATGAAATGTTCGCTAATGAACGTTGCAAATGAACATGTGCTTGACCGAAATTATTAGGTTTCAGGTGCTGTGCGGTACGGCTGGGAGGGGGGGGGGGGGGCACTGAGGGAATCGGTTGTGTCACTCGTATCACTTTTGGAAATTTTTCCGGTCATTACGGGGTACCTGGTCGTGGACACTGACTTCGCTGATGCGTCTCTCACGGGTAATGCAAAAGTGATCCTCAACGTAAACTTGGCTGTCCGAACGGTGCGATTCGCACAGGCTTCCGATCCCAGCTTGATTGGCCGTCTGCCGCGTGCCACCCGGAGCCGGATGGCCTCCGCGCGACCGACGGCGCGCAGCTGCGGGCCCGGAACGGGTCGAGCGAGGCTGCCGCGCCAGCGCTGGGACGCGCCGCTACTTGCCCTCGGCGCTGTGGGGTCTACTCGGCCTCGGCGGTGTGGAGTCTACTTGCCCTCGGCGCTGTGGGGTCTGCTCGGCCTCGGCGGTGTGGAGTCTACTCGTCCTCGGCGCTGTGGGGTCTGCTCGCCCTCGGCGCTGTGGGGTCTGCTCGGCCTCGGCGGTGTGGAGTCTACTCGTCCTCGGCGGTGTGGAGTCTGCTCGCCCTCGGCGCTGTGGGGTCTGCTCGGCCTCGGCGGTGGTGGAGTCTGCTCGTCCTCGGTGGTGTGGAGTCTGCTCGGCCTCGGCGCTGTGAGGTCTGCTCGGCCTCGGCGGTGTGGAGTCTGCTCGCCCTCGGCGGTGTGGGAGTCTACTCGTCCTCGGCGGTGTGGAGTCTACTTGCCCTCGGCGGTGTGGGAGTCTGCTCGTCCCTCGGTGGTGTGGAGTCTGCTCGGCCTCGGCGCTGTGAGGTCTGCTCGGCCTCGGCGGTGTGGAGTCTGCTCGGCCTCGGCGGTGTGGAGTCTGCTCGGCCTCGGCGGTGTGGAGTCTACTCGTCCTCGGCGCTGTGGAGTCTGCTCGGCCTCGGCGGTGTGGAGTCTACTCGTCCTCGGCGGTGTGGAGTCTGCTCGGCCTCGGCGGTGTGGAGTCTACTCGTCCTCGGCGGTGTGGGGTCTGCTCGGCCTCGGCGGTGTGGAGTCTACTCGTCCTCGGCGGTGTGAGTCCTGCTCGCCCTCGGCGGTGTGGAGTCTGCTCGCCCTCGGCGCTGTGGAGTCTACTCGCCCTCGGCGCTGTGGGGTCTGCTCGGCCTCGGCGCTGTGGAGTCTGCTCGGGCCTCGGCGGGTGTGGAGTCTGCTCGGCCTCGGCTGTGTGGAGTCTGCTCGGCCCTCGGCGCTGTGGGGTCTGCTCGGCCTCGGCGCTGTGGAGTCTGCTCGGCCTCGGCGGTGTGGAGTCTGCTCGCCCTCGGCGTTCTGGGGTCTGCTCGGCCTCGGCGGTGTGGAGTCTGCTCGGCCCTCGGCGCTGTGGGGTCTGCTCGGCCTCGGTGGTGTGGAGTCTGCTCGGCCTCGGCGGTGTGGAGTCTGCTCGGCCTCGGCGTTCTGGGGTCTGCTCGGCCTCGGCGGTGGTGGAGTCTGCTCGGCCTCGGCGGTGTGGAGTCTACTCGGCCTCGGCGGTGTGGGGTCTGCTCGCCCTCGGCGGTGTGGAGTCTGCTCGGCCTCGGCGCTGTGGGGTCTGCTCGGCCTCGGCGGTGTGGAGTCTACTCGGCCTCGGCGGTGTGGAGTCTACTCGGCCTCGGCGGTGTGGAGTCTACTCGTCCTCGGCGGTGTGGAGTCTGCTCGGCCTCGGCGGTGTGGAGTCTGCTCGGCCTCGGCGTTCTGGGTCTGCTCGGCCTCGGCGCTGTGGAGTCCTGCTCGTCCTCGGCGGTGTGGAGTCTGCTCGGCCTCGGCGGTGTGGAGTCTGCTCGGCCTCGGCGGTGTGGAGTCTGCTCGGCCTCGGCGGTGTGGAGTCTGCTCGGCCTCGGCGCTGTGGGGTCTGCTCGGCCTCGGCGTTCTGGGGTCTGCTCGGCCTCGGCGCTCTGGGGTCGCCGGCCCCGGAGTTATGGGTCGGCTATATTTGTTGAGCGTTCCGCTCGGCCGGGCGTCGTCGTTATCACGGCAATAGCTGACGCAGACTGGCTAACGAGGCGCGCGGCGCGGCTCCGGCCCCCGATCCTGACGCAGGCCGCCACCGCCTCCCCCCCCCCCCCCCCGCAACTGGCAGAAAGATGCTTTTGGCTGACGACACCTATGTATGTAGCTGTAACTGGTTACAAACTCTTACTACCGGCCTGAATTGGCTTTCATTGTGAGATGGGTTTTTTACCTAGCACTGTCAGCAACAACAAAAGGCAAACAAACATGAAAGATGACAACTTTACACAATTCGTCAGCATCGCTGTCGTCACTGGAATGGGGATGATAGATGATGGAAGAAACTGCGTTAATTTTTCACACCTTTGTACCCATATCAATCTTTTCTGAAACAGTACGAGACATGGAACACTGCGCTTTAAGGATATAACAACTTATATCATTCAAGCACTTACTGTAAGTGATAGCGTGTGGCTGCGCCGCTGTACTCGACTTGAAATGAGCATGTCATGTGCTCCAAGTCTTGTAATTAACAGTCAAATGTATTCTCGCCATCCATGTAACATAGTTATACCAAGTTCTACCGAGGTCATCAATGGGAGCCCAATCCCATTATGGGAAGTGACAATTGTTTGGGCAGTACCGCCTGATATTGATATTGTGTCCTTCTCACCTGGGTAGATAGATGCGCGCCCAGGCAGACATGGCCCAGCTGTTGAGCTATATATGCATGGATGTCATGCATGCTAGAAATTTATGAACGTCTGTTGAGAACTATCTGACGGTCATATTATTGCGTCTTCTTCTTAGTACGTTGATAGTTTGGTTCTTCCAGGACGTATATGAATGTGTCCAGGGCTGTGTGCGTACCTAGGCGCCTGCATCGATATGGAAGGCAGCCATTTTACGACATGGTTGTACTCATGACGAGGCTTTTCATCGATTTTACCGAATCGTTTCACGGCTATTTTTGGACTCTCAACTCGAGCTGAGCAGAACAAAACTACCCTGACCCCAATGCCTGATCGGGTATTTGGCGCTGACGTGCCCGGATTTGCATGCCTGCCCCATGTAGGCATCGAGGAGCATCGCGAGTTACAGCTCAGATTGGAATTAAGCTAGCGTGACGAAAATAAAATGTCAATTAAGGAAGGGAATATAGATCCTACACACAATACTTGGCCAGTAAGGTCACTGGCATTTTGAACGCCACACGGGCTTGCGCCACTTGTTGGCAGCGGGTAACCGGCCGCGCGGGCAGCGCGTAACCGGCCGCGCTGGCAGCGGGTAACCGGCCGCGTTGACAGCGGGTAACCGGGCGCGCGGGCAGCGCGTAACCTGCCGCGTTGGCAGCGGGTAACCTGCCGCGCTGGCAGCGGGTAACCGGGCGCGTTGGCAGCGAGTAACCTGCCGCGCTGGCAGCGGGTAACCGGCCGCGCTGGCAGCGGGTTACCTGCCGCGCTGGCAGCGGGTTACCTGCCGCGTTGGCAGCGGGTAACCGGCCAGTTGGCAGCGTGTAATCTGCCGCGCTGGCAGCGGGTAACCTGCCGCGTTGGCAGCGGGTAACCTGCCGCGCTGGCAGCGGGTAACCGGCCGGGTTGGCAGCGGGTAACCGGCCGCGTTGGCAGCGGGTATCCTGCCGCGCTGGCAGCGGGTAACTTGCCGCGCTGGTAGCAGGTAACCGGCCGGGTTGGCAGCGGGTAACCTGCCGCATTGGCAGCGGGTAACCTGCCGCGCTGGCAGCGGGTAACCGGCCGCGTTGGCAACGGGTAACCTGCCGCGCTGGCAGCGGGTAACCGGCCGCACTGGCGGCTTGAGATTTGGTCGGCGAGGGAGCCTTGCGGGACGCTGACGCCTGCGGCCGGCGAACACCGTAGTCGACGACTGTCAATCTCCGGGAGAGGACGGGGGCAGGCGCCGGCGATGGGCGCGCTGCCGGTGGCCGGTGTCGACTCCAGGCCGACTCCGGCCGCCGTCGAGGGGCGCCTCCGCCGTGTGTTGGGCAACCCCGTCGGCCGGCAGCGAACGGAGCGGTAGGCCTGTCACCCTGTCACTCGGCGATGCAGCCACGGCCCATATTGTGGTTAGGGCAGGGCAGGATTTGCGAGACAATCTGAACGCAAGTTGCGTTTCTTAAGGTAAGTATAGACTAATCGTGTCTTAATGCTCGATATTGACAAGGGGTTAACAGCTCATTCTGCCAGAGCGGAGGCCTCCGCCTGCCCCTTCATGACTTCCACTCTCCCACGGAGCACCGGGGCTCGTGCCACGTTTGAACAGCTACTTGGTGCGAGAGTATCGTGGGGTAAGTTACAACCGGATGGGGTTCCATCGTGTGTTGGTGGTGGCTGCACCTCCAGCCCCATTACCTCCTGAGTTACAGCGGGGCGGGGTCGTGAACCGTTGTCAGAGGCCTCCAGTCCGTTGCCCAGAGGCTCCGCGATTCCCATCACTCACCGCCGCGGGCAGTAATGCCCCCACGCTTACCGTGGGCTGTTTAAATCATCTCACAGTGCATCGGGGACCTCAAAATCTCGAAATTCTCCAACCCCGTGCCTCCAACGCCTCCCTGCTCGGCTGCACTTGTGGACGGGATTGCTGTCAGCCGGCGGGAGCGGACGGGAGGAAACCCGCCCCGCCCCGCTAACGCCGGAGCGGGACTGGACGGACGGTCGGCCGACCGGCAGGAGCGGATGGGAAGAAACCCGCCCCGCCTCGCCCCGCTGACGCCGGAGCGGGACTGGACGGACGGTCGGCCGGCCGACGCTCTCCCACGCTCACGCCGCCGCCGGACGCGTCGCAGCCGGCGGCCGGCGCCTCACCAGCGGTGGCGGACCGGCGGCTGTCGCGGTCAGATGTCTCCGACTGACGCGGCATTGATCTACGCCGGGCGCGTCCCGGCCGACCGGCCGATGGGGCGGCCCTGGGCCGTAATCAGGCCGGCAATCGGTGGGACGTCACACAGCCGCGCCCGCCCCACCATTGATTCGGCCCGCCGCGCTGGGTCAGCCGTCCGGCCAGCTCCGGTCGGCCGGCCGGCCCGCCCCGATTTTCCCCGCGAAATTCTGCCGTTGACCCGGAATTTCACGATTGGGTGGTGGAGTCAGGGTTCAGGCAATAAGCACTGCCTAGTGTAGGCCGTGATCACGGATATCCATCCAATCAAAAGGCTCGGACTGCATCTTTAAAGATTATGGCAACATGGATGGTATGTCTGATCCACGTGTCGCAATCGCAGATCGATGTCGCGGTGGGCAACGACGGTGCCGTCCGCCACTGATCTGCTCTCGGTCTGACCGCCCGCCCACCGATCTGCCCCCGGTCCGACCGTCCACCCACTAATCTGCTCCCTGTCTCACCGCCCGCCCACCGATCTGCCCCCGGTCTCGCCGCCCGCCCACTAATCTGCCCCCTGTCCCACCGTCCGCCTACCTATCTGCCCCCGGTCTCAACGCCCGCCACTGATCTGCCCCCGGTCTCACCGCCCGCCCACCGATCTGCCCCCGGTCTGACCGCCCACCCACTAATCTGCCCCCTGTCTCACCGCCCGCCTACCGATCTGCCCTCGGTCTCACCTCCCGCCACTGATCTGCCCCCGGTCTCGCCGCCCGCCCATCGATCTGCCCTCTGTCCCAGCGGTCTTTCGTGATTTCCTTCCTTTCCCAACACGTTCATGGCGCTGTTCGATCCGGGTCGCCTTCTCCCCGTCGAGCTCTGATTATTAACGTCGGCAGGGGGGGGGGGGCTTTGGTTCATCAGCCCCCTCACCGAACGAGCGCCGTCCGGCGGCACGAACCAAGGCTCTCCCGCCAGCTGCGGCATCGTCGCCTTCGGAGGTAGAGCCTCGCTCGACGGACGCCATGTTTATCCGGCGTCCCAAACAGCCCTCCCGTAGCCGGCAGGCTGCAACGTGGAACGCGGTCGGATTGGAGCCGCGCCACGCCGACGGCCGGGTCACGCTGATAGCTTGATGCTGTCAGGCCAAAGTCCGCGTGGCTTAAGCATACGCGACATGTTGAGTGGTTGCCGATTTGGGCTTCGCGTGCGGCCACAATGAGTTGGTTTACAGACTTGTGTTGATGTCGCCGTAGCTTTATCGCTAGCATGGGACATTGGGGCGAATAAGCTTGCATCCTTATCTTGCGGGCGAATGACCGTGTGTATTTGGGGGAATCCATTCACGCTGAAGCATTATTGATGTGGAACTGCGCTTCGAGCACGCACTAGACCTCGGAGCGGGCCTCAGAAATGAGTAGGCAGGCTGGCAGCCGAGATAAAGCGATCTCCGTCAAATCACGGAACCGTCGTAGATACCGTCCTGCTCTGTGGCTTCGAGAGGAAGTTGGACACTCGATGGATGTAGTTATTATGTCAGAAAGGATGCAACTGAGCGGAAGAGGGAGTCCGAGGCAGGGGTTCAGGCCGAATTCAAAGCCGGATCCGGGGCCGTCCTCGGAGATCTGAGACCGCTGCAGGGCGTCGGCTGCGAAAAATCGGCGGCCAACCGACCGTCGAACCGGATGAGCCGATCTCCGGTCCCCTCTGACCCGATCCCCGCGGACTTGTCCCAGACGCCGGCGATCGGGCGCCGCGTGTTGCCCGTGACGTCAGCGTCGTCGCCATGGCGACCGGCGGTCCCGGCGCGGCCGACTGATTGGCACTCGTCGCCGTGTCCGCAGGTGATAATGGCCACGAATCGGATTGATATTCTGGACTCGGCGCTGCTGCGCCCCGGCCGGATCGACCGCAAGATCGAGTTCCCGCCGCCCAACGAGGAGGCGCGACTCGACATCCTGCGCATCCACTCGCGCAAGATGAACCTGACGCGCGGCATCAACCTGCGCAAAATCGCCGAGCTCATGCCCGGCGCCTCGGGCGCCGAGGTCAAGGTAAGGTCAAGGCCTGCCACGATCTGTTTCACTACTCAGCTGTCCACAGCAGCAGGTGCTGCGCATGCAGGTGCTGCGCATGACGTGTGTACAGGGTAAGTGTGAATTCGCTATCGTTCAAGGTTCAAGGTATTCTTCTTCCTTTTTGAATAATTGCGTCATCAGCATATGCATCTTGACGCCGCAATACGACGAATCGAAGCTCTAGTTCACTTGGTGAATGCTGTCACCTCAAAGGAAGAATGGGAAACATAGGGAGCATGAATTGACGCATTATGTGATACGCTATTTCTGGGAATCGCATTTGATTATGCTCTGGGTCGGATATTTGATCCCTCATGGGGTGGTAGTTATCGACAAATTGGTTGCGAAAATGGTGAAAAATTAACTTACGCCAACTTGATTGATTAAACCCACTTGAAGAACACACCCTTGCTCGGCTTGCAACGGAACAGATTTCATTCTTGTCTAAGGTACCTCCTCAGTGCATATCTGGAGCGGGGAGGTCCTGAAGTAGCATTTAGGCTGCCTTTTGCGGGCTTTGGTTTCCATTGCTTCGACACGCGGGCAAATTGCGTGATTCATTACTGAAACACGTAGGCAAAATGCGGCCAAAATACTACTTTGATGCAAGGGAAATGAATGTGCCTTTTCATTACTCACAGTTGCCCGAAAAGTGCGAGACATGGGTAAACAGTATTCGCTGTACGTGGACGTGTTTGCTTGTGTCAAGAAGTGCTGGAAGCATCACACTGTGACAAGAGAAGCATTAATGCCTGACGAGACAGCGCGTGAGATGGCTTCAGCCGGCGGCGGCGGCTGGCAGACGGGCCACCGGTCGCCAGCGGGGTAGAGGCCGTAGTGGAGGCCGGCGGCGGCGGCTGGCAGACGGGCCACCGGTCGCCAGCGGGGTAGAGGCCGTAGTAGAGGCCGGCGGCGGCGGCTGGCAGACGGGCCACCGGTCGCCAGCGGGGTAGTGGCAGTAGTAGGGGCCGGCTGCGCTGTTGCTTCTCAGTATGTCACATTATATAAAATATGTCAAATCCACGTAGATATAGATATATACATATATGCATATGTATTGAAATGATAATGTGTTGTGTACATCTATATATATATATATATATATATATATATATATATATATATATATATATATATATATATACATATATTAAAAAGCATGCGATGCTGCAGATCATCCTCGTCTGGAAGAAACCGACGAACGCATTACGTTCAGAGGTGGGGATTACCGCGTTTTGGACCTGTATGGGGTATCGGAAGTGAACGTTGGCGGATTGCGACTGGGCTGGCGCAATTCAAAATCCCCTGCATGCCAGTGAGCCATTCCCTGTAAGACCGGGAGATGACAGGCATGCGTATTGTGCAATGCCCCGCAAGTCGATGTTGTCCGGTATGGTGGTCTTTGCCTTTCGCCGTTCGATCGACATCCGTTCTCCTGTTATATTGATGACAAGTGACTGCCTTGATTCGTCGCTCATCACCAAGATAGGAAGTGCAGTGTCATGTGAATGTAGGGGGCTGGGTCAAAATAGGGGTGTAAAATAGCACTACACGCGTTTTTTCTTAGAGATGCCCTGAGCTGTTCCGTCAAACGTCATTCAGTTTTTGTCGAACTTCCCGGTAGGTTCGTGTCGGCCCTAAAAGTTTCGGCACCGTACCACGCCACTGAGCCGTCTCATTCAGTAGCCGTATCCTGTTCCTAAGCTCTCTCATGACGTCAGATGTGCGTTTAGTTTTCTCTTCCCCTCGACAGTGGGGTGCTGAGTTAAAAGTTTGCGGCACGCGGCGGATCTGAGCAACGTTATATGCATCACACTCATTAGCGGCTTAACAATTTAGCGGCTTAACACATTAGCGGCTTAATTCGTGCGAGAACAGCGTGTATAGTGCCAGTTTAAAGGAGTGTCCCGCAATCGAATAAGCTCACTTAAAACCATTAAAAGAGACTCAAATAGGTACAAGATGGCGATCGTCCGTTAACCCAATCTCTATGTAGTCACGTATCAGCCCCATAGGTGCCTGGGCATTTGATGCTGCCATAGCTGCCCGACATTTTTTACTGCCTGGAGCCATTTTGACCACGCCTGAGGCCTCGTAGATTTATCGCTGTTTTTGTTGCAAGTTGGCTCAACGTGCCTTGAATGGGATCTGCGTAATGTCCAGTTACACATGAGCTGTATAGGTGCCTGGTTTGGAAGCGTCGCTGTTGTACGGTATTATGCAGGTCAGATTGGTGTCACTAATCAATGTAGTGTGGCTCGCCCCTGTAGATGGAGATTGTTTGATCCCTCTACGTAACCTCGTATGATCCTGCTTAGTATGACTTCACTTGACTGTGGCTTAAAGGAGTGTCCCACTTTTCGGGCGTATTTCAAAAGCATACCCCTGTGAAACCTCATACCCCTGCATACCCCTGAGGACTAGTTGCATCTCGTAATAGCGTTGGGTAGTGCCACCGCAGCACCGTCAAGGCAAAAAGGCGATCAAGTTTAATCTCTTGCAGGCCAAATTACACTATCCACGCTTTCCAGCGGTACTACTCAGTGCTACTGAACTTCTTTCCTGCAGTCGCGGCCGCTGTCGTCATGACGACGACCGTGCGTACCTCTACTTTGTGAATAAAAGAACGTTTGCGATTGGCCCAGCGGGCAAATTGGCCTGTTACCGAAACCATGGACATGTCGATTATGACATCAAATGCTGCTTTCTTCAGGTTTCGTTCATGACAGCCATGTCATACCTGGTGTAAATTCAACTGCTGTATTTTTTTAAAGGCACGCCACGTCTATACTTCATGCAAAGGCAAAGGCAAAGGCGATGCTGTAAAGGCACATCCGGGCGGTCTGTGAGCACGGACCGTCAACCTCAACTACATCCTGTAAACTGTGCCGCGGGTGCGATCTCACGGGTGTAGTGCGGGCTCTGTTCAGCTGGGCTGTCGTAGTCCGGCAGCAGCGACTGCCGAAGTGACGCGGGGCGTGGCGACCATTCCGGCGGCGCGCCTACAGTAACGAGCCCCGCAGCGGCCGTCCGTCAACGGTAATGCGTCCGACAGTAACCAAATATTTGTGTTGCCCTGACCGCCGAAGTTAGCCCTCGCGCTTCGCTGGTCTATATGCAGTTAGCGGACATTTACGCATATGTATACATATATATATATATATATATATATATATATATATATATATATATATGTATATGTATGTATGTATGTATATAACGCAAGTTACGGAGGGTGATATGTGGTTTCTCCCCCGTATGCGACAATTTTCAATATGATTGGGATGTGTCACATCACTTTCCGATGTGCATCTAAGAAGCTGAATGATGCTGCACTAAGCAGCTATTTTGCACCCCCTGAACTGCCACCGCATTCCCCACTCCGACCGTGAACAAATTTCGCTGACGCTAGCTTCTATCGGTTGGGCAAGAGGGCGCAGGGCTACCTAAGAACATACTGCCTGCATCGTCATCGTCGACCATATGGGGCTTGTTGGTTGGCTCCAAATGTTTGCCAGCCAACTGTTTTTCTGTTTTGGTCTGTTCGAAGTTTTCAGCAGCGCGGCTGACGAGGAAGAATCATTGGCCGTCGGCCAGTTTCTGCCCAGTCGTTGCTATGCTCGCTGTCTTGGGTTAGCAGAACGAATAGAACTGCGTGTCTGAAAGTCGGGGACGGAAGCAAGTGATCGGCCGGACGAGGCATGGGAATGGAATCATGGTCGTAAATTTAGCGACGGGATATCGTGTAAGCTAGCGACGTCCGCTGCTAGGGTAAGACGAATGAAGGGCAGAGTTCGGAATCTCACAATGTCTCAGTGAGCTGCTTCCCGACGAGCAACGTTTCACTGAGTGGTGTCAGAACGGTTTACGTTTCCGTTGTACTAGTACAGGACTCCACAGGGGTGTGTGGTTTTCGGAAGATAGTGGGTCATTTAGTATCTAGCTAGTCTATTTATTACTCATGGCGTGAAATGATAAAGTCAGTCGAAGTGGCTCTAAACCCAAATATCATCATCATCCAGTCCATTACTGAATAGAATGCAGAAAAAATATCCTAGTATGCAACGTGCCCATGTCATTGAACCGGATGGAGCTGCCAGCCGCGACTGCCCCGGGGATGCAGAGCAAAGTCCCTGGCACCTTGGGATGGGATTATATAAATTCAAACGGAATCGCTAGCCCTGGTCAGTGTAATCCAGTATCTCCAGTTCACACTAGTCACATGCTTGATAACGTCACAGGTCACGCGAATTGCCCTAATGGTCGCTGCAATGTTGGAACGTGTTGAGGGCCTCTTGCACACGTAATAATGGTCGGTAAGTCTTCGAGCCGGCGCCAAATTGATCATGGTCAGGTCATGGTGAGATATCGGGCACGATTTTTGTGCCCTCTTAGTTCACCTGACATGGGGAAGTGAGTGGCTTGTAGATCTTTAAGTCACCGAGTTATATATCGCCCGTAGGCATGGCGTCATTTGTTAACACGCGCTCGGGTGGGAGGTCAAATTGCCCCCCCCCCCGAAGGTTTTTTCAGAATGGTTTCCAAACGACGCAGTGTAGCCGCGTCAAATTTTGCATAGTTGTAGATAATTGAATAGTGGATCGTTTGGTGAGAAAAATTTAGATGCACGTTGTAAGATCGCTGACCTATGGCAGGTCAAAGTCAGGCCATGGGTTCAGCGAAGCAAATTTCTAGGGAATCGTTCAATCTGATGCAACAACGGAGTGTTAGACGAAGCCATACATCTCTGAATTGCCTTCTTAGACAACACAACAACCGAATGAGCAAATTGCATTAACTTAAGGTCAGGTATGAAGGTCAGACCAAGGTCAAACCAACCTGTTTTATTATTCCAAGAGTTGCTTTATGGAATAGTTTGTGGTGCTTATTTCGATTTTTTGATAGCAGGAACTGCATTCTACATTTTCCATGAACTTCCTAGAGGTCAGAATAGGTCATTGATCTCAAATGACCCA